GAAGAACGGTGGAAAAACTCGAGCGGAGTTATTGCCTTCGCGGAAACGCAAAAAAAATTGGAGCATAGACGCATAAAAATGCATGTGTGTGTATGTGAATGTGTGCGTGCGCGTCTATATATAAGTACGTCGCGATGTGCAAAAGACCGTGAATAATGCACGCAATTAGCGTTTTTTTTTTATCAAGAAAATTCTTTCTTGTAAATAATCCTCAAAAAATGAGATAAACTTTCTCGTCATAAAAGAATAATACCTTTCATAAACACAAGTTAATATATATAATTTCTCGATAAATTTTAATCTAAAAATATATTACAAGCTCTAGTTTCTACTATGTAAATTTCACTTCATTTTAAACATTTTAATTAACGTAAATACCGAGATTATTCAATGTAATTAGACATAAACGCGTCGATTATAAATTTTCAATTAAATTCAAATTAAACGAGAAAGTATTATGAGTCACATTTACATTTTCGAGAAATTCAATTCAATTTGAAAATTCCGCTTGTAATTGAAAAGCTTGATATGTTAATGCTATATACTTCCTAGTAGATATAACAAAAACACACCCTGTATAGAGTTGAGAGAAATCAGTCCTCCAAGTCATATATCCTTCGCGTAGAATCCGTTTAGAGAACTCCCGAGATTAGTCCTCGAGAATTAATATGAACTTGGCGAGAGAAGCTCGGCGTAAAAGGCCACGAATGATGCGCATAATGCGTTAGACGCGAACAATGGACAGCGGGCGTGTCGCGTCTCTCGGTATATGTATACATACATACATATATATATATATATATATATATATACAATGTCACCGATCCTCGTCATCCCTATTGCCATCACCACCTATATAACCATCCTTCCCTCTGTCCCTCGCCGATCCTCTCTCTCTCTCTCTCTCTCTCTCTCGTTCTGTGCCACCTTTTCACCTTCTCACTCCTATCTATTCGTCCACGCATCACTCTCCTCTTTCTGCTTCTGCGCGTGTGTTTTCGTTTTTTTTTTTTTATCACTTTGAAAGCGGAATATATGCTACTGCGTGGTCGCGGAACAGGAAACGCCATGGGAGAGTGAGCAATCGGTATTCCGCGATTGTGTGTCGCACACGAGTGAACCGATACCACAGAGAGAGAGAGAGAGAGAGAGGGCGTGTGTGTGTGTGTGTGTGTGTGTGTGCGCTGTGTATGCATAACGAGAGAGAGACGACGGGACCGCAGGAACGGCTTCAATCACGGGAATGCACTTGAAATTCGCTCGCCTCTACCTCCAGCCCTATGTCGTTGCGCGAATCTCTCGCACGTACGCGCACAAATTGTTATCCGCTTTTTTGCGGTCCGGAAAAACGCTCGCAAACGCGCCGTTTACACGGATTCTCGCGCGCCAATTCTCGTCTAAATTATCAGACATTTGTTACTTTTCAGCTAAACATTTTTCCTTTCTTTTTTTGTCAACGCGTATTGTTCTTTATAGATTAAGACTGGATTATTCTGCGTGAATTATTGTGGAAAAATTGGCAAGTGACATTTCAAATTAATTCGAGATTATATTTACATGGAAACCGAGATTAGAGAATATTAAAGATTTTTAATCACATTTTTCCAATACCGAGATATAAATAAGTATAATTCAATGTAACGCGATGTATCGACGAAAGATGACCTTATAGGAGATCGCTATACATTCGTTCTTTTAAGGCAATCGTTGTTCGAGCTATCCGATGCAAATGTCGCTGCGACGTGAAGAAATGTCACCGTTTCGACCGGACGCGCGTAAGCGTAAACGCAGTTGCCTGGTACATACATATATATATATATATATATATCGAACGATATCGATTACGAAGGAGAGCGAATCGATATCGGTGACTCGGATAACGAACGTGAGGTTACGAAATTAAACGTGTGATAAAAACAAACATTACACCGAAAAGTTATCTCGTTAGTCGCTTGGTAAATTTGATGTATTTTTCAAAGACTGCTCTTTTAAAGTACAAAAAAGTAACAGATTTAACCAATTTAAAATCAGTTTATCTTTTAGCAAGATTTAATTGAGCATTCTTTCTCTCTCTCTCCTTCTCTACGCGTCCTTCTCATTTCGCGTTATTTAATTTAATTTTTATTATCAAACCTTAATAGAGCAAAGTAAAAGTTGCTCAATATTAAACACGACCGATAAGATCTCGTTCACAGGAAATATCACAGAGTTTTAAAGGGAATATCGTCATAAAAAGATTTTGTTCGAAAAAAAAGAAAATCGTAAGCTTCGGGAAGCTGTGATGTAATAATAAAAACGCAAAAAAGCGGCTTGTGCAAATGCAATTCTGTACGCGTACCAAAAACTGCGTTAGTTACAATAATCACACGCTTTTAGGACGCGTCGCGCATGAGATGCGTCTCGCTTTGAAACGTGAAAACTAGGACAATTTCCGGGTGCGATGCTTCCACTCGTGCGAAATTATTACCGAAAATCCAAAGAAACGAGCGATATCGATACGCGATTCCCCTTCGTCTCTCTTGCTTAAGAGGAACTGTCCCATGATAAATAATGCTTTCTCCCTTTCTCTGTCAAAGGAAAAAGAGAAAGGAAAAGAGAGAGAGAGAGAGAGAGATTTGCTGACGATCTCTTTCGCATTTCATTTTTGGTCATCCCTGCATTCATTTTCGAGCTATTCATTCTGCAGCCACCCTCGTCGAAAAACTCTCCGTGTCAATAGAGCGCATTCATTCGCACCTGAGCGACCCGCTTCGCGAACTCATGAATAAGTTACCTATGATCTGTTCGGACCAGACACGAGACGCCGACGCGTTCTCTCTCGTTATGACACCATTAAACTTTCCTCGCGTCGTTAATAATCCGCGCATTAATTATTGTCCGTATCTCGTCGCTCGCTGCGCTTCGTTTGACGGTAAAGTTTTAAACGAGTCCTCTGAGGACAAACGGCGATTCCTGTTTATCAAGTTAGAGAATTAAGAACAAACACAAAATGAGACAGCGCTGTGCGATATAACGGCAGAAACCGCCGTTGCAAAGGATCGCGGATTTTGAGAGAGCCCGCATCTAAGAGAAAAACAAAGAGAAAGAAGAAAAGGAAGATAGCACGCAAACGAACTCTTATCGTCGTAACTCAAGCAATGTTTCCTGGAAACACCGAGTTTTAAATAATATACTCTTCATATATACAAGAAGGACACGTTAATTGTGAAATTATAATGCGAAAAGATCGCGTGATAAAATGGAAAATAAAATCTTTTTCATTCAACGCGCGCAAAATTGGAGAAAATCCTATATACGGGTACGAGTACCACAAGAGTACCCAGCTACACTCGTGTGCCGAGTCGTCGCACTCAAGTCCCCCCCTCTCTCTCTCTCTCTCTCTCTCTCTCTCTCTCTCTCCTCCGCACACAAGTCCTTATATATGCCATGCATCCCTCTCGTGTCATGTTAGAAACGCGCAGAGAAGAGGACGGCAGGCAGGAGGAGAGACAGCGAAAAGAGGGAAGGAGGGAGAAGGCGAAATTCAGCGAAAGAAGAAAAGAAGAGAGAGAGAGAGAGAGAAAGAGTGGGATCAGGCCTCTGTCGAGGCGCTGCATACCGAGGACTGGAAAACGCATTGTTTAGGCTGCACTCACACCGTCTCAGGATGGGTGTGTCGCGAGCGTGAAATACCGACGAAGTGACTTGACTCTCTTTCTCTTTCTCTCGGAGTCGAATGGAGCTTCGACCTGGCGCTTCGACCTGGTGCTCGAGTCACGTCGCAGATATCACCGTAATTTAATCGGCTCTATCGACGAATCCAAGATGCACTATCCGCGAATCGGATGTCACTCTGAGTCTACAGACTCGGTTTCTTGCACTCTTCTCGCAGTGCATCTCAGATTAGCCCATACTTGATCGCAGAAGACCACATAAATGCCCGCATCTTTGCGTCAAACGCATTTAAACGCATTCGTGCGATTTTTTTTTGAGTATTAAAGCTTGTCAAATATAATAATTTTATCGAATAATAAATTTTTGCAAAGATTTTTTTTTGTGGGAGGAAATAATTAAAATTGTTATTAAAATTAAAGTAAAAAATTTTGAAGAATCTTTTGCAATTATAATAAAGTTATCTTTTTTAAAAAGATCATTAATGAATAAAAATTCCAATGTATGTAATATCATTAAAGCTGATAGATTTATAAATTGTAGAGGCAATTTCATATAATGACTTAATAATGAGTATCATGTCAACTGAGACAAGAAGAGAATACATTATAAATGGAGCGCGCAGTTGCCAAGATATATTATATTAGAAAATAAAAAGATTTGAGAGAGGGAAGGACACATACTTGTAAAATTACTTCGGAGCTATATCTTCGTATTTCTTACTAACCAGAGAGATCTTTTTCGGTTTTATAAAATCACGCTAAGTATGTTCATGGCGACATCCAGCGGGCAGCGGCTGAATGTATGCTTTTCTATCAGGGTAAAGCAGATTCGAGTAATCCAAATAATTGTCTGTCATTAAACACTCACCACACTTGAAGCAGAAGTGTGTGCTCTTGCGAAGCAGATAAAATATTATAATCATGAAAACTCGCAATTAAAATTCAAATATTTAAACTAGTTATTAAAAATGCTAATTTCGCCAACACTGAATGAAATCTTGTTCACCTATCAGACTCATTTCTTGCCACACTCACTTAATCATCCTATTCTCAGCGCGGAATCGGTCGTTAATTGATCGAATAAGTAAACGATAGTAGTTAACGAGCGATTTTCCCGAAAGAGCAGCTAATAAAAAAAAAAAAACTTTTATATCGGGTCATAAAGATAAACCGCGAAATGTTCACCGGGTTTAGTAGATAAACGTTGATCGCACGAGAGAATTCAATGGACCTACAACATAAAGGACGGCGCAACAATGACGAGAAGCGCCGATCGAGCGATTTGAAGAGGAGCATAAGAGCCTTGGCTCTCTTAAAACTCGCGCACTTACAATCCAACGTACTTACCTGCAAATTGGTTCGTCTCGCTCGTCCGGTGGATTCAGGAAATTGCCGTCGTTCACCGCCGAAGACGTCGATCCTCGCGGCGACCTCGGGCCGCCCTCCGGTTCGCCAATCAGCACTTCTGTCCGACCATTTTGGAAAGGGCTGCTCGCGCGACGTTCGCCGATTCTTCCTCCCTGCACCGGTTGCTGTCGAGCAAATAAACAGTTTTACATTTTTTTTGAAAATGACACCCAAGATATTAATTCGAGCTTGTCGTTTCATTTTTTCATTTTTTCGAGTCATCAATTTGGAATTTTTTGAGCAGATTTCTCCATAACGATATTATTCGATTAGATGTCTTGTTTGTGTGCATGTTTGTGTGTGTTAAATATTTTTATAATGACAATGCGTACAAATCTCGATACTGATTATTAATATATTAAAATATACACAATATTGCTTAATGATGTACTCAGATTTAATTTTATCTAAAAATAAAGATAAAATTCAAGTATAAGAAAATACTTGGAAAAAATTATACCGCGATTGTAGCTCGAACGTTAATTCAAAGAAATATAAATGACAGTAGCCTGCGAGTCTTACGAAAAGACTCCCATTAACGTGTCTAACGTTGGCAATTAAGCACGATAAACTACCTATGCCGATTTATTATTCCGGGAAACTGTGTTTAATAATTACTTAAGAAATCTACAACGGATGTTGCTTATGTAAGCGACGCGCGATCGGTGCCAACCGATGTAATGTAATGTTGAAAAAAATGTGTCTGTGAAATCTACAGTTATAATATAACTTATATATACAGAGCACATGCAGCTTATATTATATAAAATAAAAAATATACAATCTGTATGTTCGTATATGTAATAAATCGTATAATATGTTTCTGATTATTTATATTAGAAAATCTAACATAACAAATTTATTTAATAATTTAATGTTATAATAGCAAAATGTTTCATAGTCTTTATATTGTTATCTTTAACACTCTTCCTTCTACATACATACGAGTTGAAGTAAAAAAAATAATATCTCGAAAAATCAATTTTTCCGAATATAAAATTTTGCTGGTATTTACTTGAAGAGAGGATGTGTACTAACCAAGAGATTCGCCTCTTCGTAACTATGTTGCTTTTCCAAAACGTCCTTCCGCTCCTGCGAGACGTGTTCCACTAGAATGTCTGCCTCTTTCGCTAATCCTTTAGGAATCGTACCGTTGCTAAGTTTCGTGGGGAAAGCATTCGTACCCAATTCCCTGGAAAACAATTAAGACAAAACTAAATTAATTTAAATCCTCTAATATATATAAGAAATATAAGATATAGTGATAGCTATGAAATAAAATAACTTTCGCTTTTCCCCCTCGTTGTACAAGATAAAAACAGATGAATACGCGGCCGTATTGAAGGGATATCAATCACGACAATCGCAATTTGTCATATCCGGCCTACAACGATACCTTCTACAGGTATCGTGCATATTTTCCCTGATTTTACAACATTAGTGATTTATTATGCTTTGACGGGAACATCCCAGGGGTTATTAAGCCTTCAGAAATTAATTACAAATATAGCGGGTTCGCAAATCCAAGCATTATACCGTACGTTCAATACAAATTATTTTTTGAATCATTAACCGCAGTACATCTGGACCCCGATTTGTCTATTAATTCCAAGTTTAACAATAAAAATTTTACAAAAAATCGCACCAAAGTTTATATCCTCGATAATTTACATTATTAAGAGGGCATACCCGTTTGAAACCTCGACAATTGAGTATATTTTCTAGATTTTTTGCAGAGCAACGACTTGATAAAAATCTTTACTTTTTTTTACAATATTAATGCAATATTGTTAACTACTTAAATAAAAATGTTCAGCTTGAAAAAATCTTTTTTTAAAGTGTGGGAATATTTGCAGAGATCCTCCAAATTTTAGGTGGCTACACGGTGTGCATGAAAACGTTCGTAAATCCGAAATAAAAAATACAAACGTTTTTTTTATTAAACATATTAATAGCTATCTGCTATTCAAGCGTTTTTTTTCAAAATTTTAAAAAATAAAAAAATGGCAGCGTGTTGAAAAAAAGTTTCGTTTTTTTTTGGTTTATAACAAAAAAATGGGGAATCGGATTGAAAAAAAGCTTCATTAGCTGATGCGGAATCCTATTAGGAACTCGCATGCAAAATTTGAAGTCAATTCGTTGAACATAGCCCGAGTTTTCATGCACACCGTACATGAAAACATAAATCTGCAAATATCCGCATAACTTCTTAAAAAGAAATTTTTTTTAAGCTAAAAGTTTTTATTTAGGTACTTAATAATATTATATTAATATTGTAAAAAAAGAAAAAGTTTTTATCAAATCGTTGCGCTGCGAAAAAATCTAGAAAATGTACTCATTTTTCAAACGGGTATGCCTCTTAAAGTTGAAAATAATAAGCTTATTTCTACAAAAAGTTTAATAATAATAATATAAACAGAAACTTACTTATCTGGCAAAGTAACCGTAATTTGGCCATTCGTCACGTCTTTCGCAGCGGAATCCTCGCTCGTGGATGCAACCGCATCGTTTATCTAAAACATTCGCCAGACATACACATTAGTTAGATTTTATTCTGGAGAATAAACTTATCGAGAGTTGACCGATTGCTAACATCACAGCGACGCATTTGTTCCGATAATACTAGATCCACAATATATAGCGTACCTCATACAAATTTTGCGCGAGAAAGCTACATCCGCGGTGAATAATAAATCCCATCGTGATTGCGTTTTGTTTTTATGTCGCTGCACAATAATTAAAAATGTAATCAAATGTAAAATTATATATCGCAATCACGTGACGGTAATACGGCGTAGTATTCAATTTAGCTTTATGAAAACTGGCAGAAGCCGGATACAACGGTTTCACTTCGTTTTCGTGTCGCGCGTGCTTCCGCATTTCTGGGAAAAAAAAAACGCAATCTCCGCATTTATTTCCATCTTCGACGCGTAACGTATCTATAATTCGCAACACGTTGAGGCGCGTGCACGCTTCATGTCGATATTAAAGAATTAATATTAATTTTAGTAAAAATTGGTATTCGCCATAAATGCAACTGTAAAAAGAGATAATCGTCGACGAGTCTATTATATAAAACGTTATTATATAAAACCCAGAACCAGTCAGAGTAATGTTTATGCGATAAACGAACGGCGTGGATACCGGGCCAATGTCACGATTATATCGTCATGAAAAAGGAATGCTAACAGCTCTTTTCTCGTAACATTTTTCCCTCACACATTTATGTATATCAAAGTATAAAATATGTGTATATTTTAAATTTTCTGAAAAATATTTCTAAAAATAAAATAATTTAAAATATGTGTGAGAGAGGAAAAAATAAAACGAAAAATTTTTCTTCTTGCCATATTTTCTCTCAATTGAATACTAAATATTGTTATTGACCGCATCTTATGTTATTGTACTATTGAAATTTTAGTTCACCCGCTTATGTACGTCGTCGAAAATTTAAAAGTACGACTGTAATTTTGAGAAAACCCTAATATACATAATTAATATAGATCCATGTGTAGAAATGTCTGATTAAAACTCGTTTTCCATTAAAAACTCATCAGCCTGAATGTCTTAAGCGTCTTCTACACTGCATCCTAATCTCATCCTAATACCACAACGTCGAAAAAAAAATTGATGCGATGGAATGGCCGGATAATTTCCCGAATGATACCGCTATCACGTCAGCGAATTAATCCGAGAGATCCCGTTATATCTTGCGCGCCTTTCATTTAACTGAATTATCGTGCTAATATGAAAAAAAGACCATAATATGCCGTGCTGTTGATAGCAATAAGCGCTGGTATCGATATGAATCGTAACATTGAGAAAACTCGTTAACGACCGTCATGTTACGACATCCTTTATGCAGTTTCTTCATTTACGCGAGAACTCACGTTGCGTGCCTGCTTATACGACATTTTAAGCCCGCATGTTGTATCGCAATCACGTGCAAAACAATCCCGCATACTACCCTAAAATAGATCTTGATCGTAATTAATAACAAACAATGCGCGGAATTTTTTTCAGACTTTTATCGGTAACAATATCTCCTTTCTCCTTCTCCCCAAAAATAGAAAAGCAATTAATTTTAACGCGATCTTATATCTATTTACAAAAACGTGCGAATATATTAAGGGGGTGGAGAATATTGTTTTCCATATCTAAAGCACGTACATAAAAAATTTTACGCATTCGTAGCGTCAAAATGTAAATTCATCTAAATAATATCGACTTCCGTCCCTGCTAAAAATTACGGTACTTTTAAATAAAGTGTGACGGTAATATTAGCGATCAGTATCAGGTATCGATACAATCCGAGCAGCTCTCGGCGAGCATCGAGACGAGAGAAACAAGCGCCAATATTATTTTCCTCTCTTTTTCTTTACGAAACGCGGCCTCATCGGCGACCTCATAAAACTCATTGCGTAATCGTAAAGCGCTATTCGAGCCCGGGGAATTCGGACGCGCGAAGGCGCGCGAGCGATGCAACCAGGGAGAGAAACGGGCACATACGTAGCTCCGCACTCTCGCGTAAACAAGGCCGCGCATAATCGCCGTATACCCGCCGCCGCTCACTCCGCTCATTTACTTTGCATTCCGCATTTCATAAGCAGCCTCCGCGCCTAACGATTTCGCTCGCGGCCGATCGATTCGTTCGCACGCAGCCGCGGGATTCGCGGACGCGTCGTTTAGCATGCCGGATTGGATTTAGCGACGACGCGAGAGCGGAATAAGAATCGGCCCGGATGACAGAAACGCCGAGAATGCGCTTCTCCGTCTGCTATTCACGCGTGCGACCAGATTGTATTCAGTATTATCGAATTAATGTTCATGAACGCCTTCGTGCGCGAATTGATTACGCGAGGCACATGCCTATATAACACGCGCTGCTAAAAATATTTTTAAATCAAGAAATTTTTAGAAAGAGAGTATTTTAAATATTACTTTTATTAAAATTGTTGAAAGTAAAAAATGAAAATGTAAAGCGCCGGATGTAACAGAAACTAAATGTGAGAAATTCTCTCACTTATTCTTTTAAAATGTTAAACATGTTAAAACTTTATAAGCAAGATATCGTAATGAGACAATGACCTAGTACGTGTAAAGCTCGATAAAGAGGATGGCGAAAAATCACGTTTATTTAAAGCGACAATGAATTTAAATTCCTATTCTGGCATAAAAAGTGACTTTCCTTTATTCGGCGAGAAAGAGAGAGGCGTACAAGATCATATCTCGTCGTGAAACTATCGAATCGCTCGAACACGATATTAACAGGCGACTAATTACGTGTCCCACGCTCTCGCGTACCTGCTGATGTAGAATGCCCTGGATATCGCGCGGCTGGATCTTCTTCAGTGCCGTCAGTTTCTGCAGCCTCTCTCGCGCGCTCCTGCAAACAGAGGAAATGTCCGTTTGTAAAAGCTATGTCGCTGCGTTTATCCTTGTGCGAAGGCGAACGAGATACTAGAATGAGGAGAGTGAGTTACGAGAGAGACAATCCTTATCGCTACAAACGACAATGTTTTCTATTCGCTGCTTCTTTTTCAATCTTTCTCTCTTTTTTTTTTTCTCTTGGAAACGCAAATGCAACTGCGTTTGCAAATCGCGACTGAAACCTGTTGTTGAAATCTAATTTGCAATAAGACAAGAAAGAGACAGAGAAAAGAGATTATCCATTTCTATTAAAAATATTTTCTCGGAAAATAATACTCCAAGTAATCAGGAGCAATTTAAAGGGCGCATTTTTTTTAAATAAAATATATACACACACAAATATATATGATTGCAGCTTTTCGTGGTTGAGATAAATCATATCTTTGAGCGATTAAATTTATCCGAGAAAAAAAGTATCAAGATAAGTGAACGTGCAACATTAAAGTATTAAATAAAAGTATTAAAGCATCTGTATGAAAGAAAACGACTCAGATCAATATTCCGAATAGTGAAGAAATATTAAAAAAAAAAGAAAGAGAGGGAAAGTAGAGAAAAGAGAGAGAGAAAGAGAGAGATATCTGAAAATACGAACTTTTCCCGATTTCGCGATATCTCATCACGGACTGTCATTATCGACTCGATTGAAACGCATACTTCCGTGGGATTCTCGTGACATTTAGATGACGCATTCTCGCGTTCGATCAAAAACACATATTCGCCCGCCGGACATCACCGCCTTTTATGTGACGTTTAATCGATACATACGATTCCGCGCCCCGACAGGAATGTATTTACTAGAAGCGGGGCACATTTATTAGAGATTTCCCGCTCTTCGCATGCGTGTATTCACGCTCGTGTGTATCCAAGAGCGTGCGTTCCTTATAAGCTATTATAACGCATTCTAGATAATCTTTACCATTATCGAGGCAATCGCTCATTATCTCACCTTTCGACGGCGATAACCCAGGCGTCTCGTATCCGCCCAGCGTTTGGCCCGTCCAGCTCTTCTGTCAGAAATTCATAAAAAATTAATTAGACTAATTTATCGCGTATTTAACATGTCTGTCAAAGAAGCCATTACCAGGCCAGCGGTTAAATGGCGGGCCATGTAACGGAGAAAAGCAGAGATAAGTGAAGCGCATATCGTGAGCCTGACGAATTCCCTTCGTTTCTCATTTATACCGCGCGAGAAGCCACCGTGATTCCATTATTAATTTAATACCTCCCTCCGCGCGGACGGTGGTTCCTTTTTTTTTTTCTTTGCGCGCGTGCGCGGGAAGAGAGTTTTTATATCCATCGTCGTAATCTATCATTCCACTCGGTAAAATATTGGTAAAAACATTTTTCTACGCGAGTTTAATCCCCCTCCCCGATACCAGACGTGCTAAATTCGTTGCATCGCGCTGCGAAAACTTTGTTATACTTTGCGCGCTAAGTCCACGCTGTCCTCGTAATTTTTTGTCCATCAGTTATTTATATATCCTCCCTCAGCGGGGAATAACTACGGGGACCTACCGCGTGTATCAACCCACTTTTCTATAAAAAAAGAATAATCTGATCGATCGCCAGCTACCGTTCTTAGTGCATGGCGCGTCTTCGTCGGCTTCCTCGGCGTCGTCGTCGATGAATTTTATACCGGACAGATCAAAATGCTTCGCCAGATCTTCGGGTTCCGTCTTGTAATTCGGGAATTCCGCGAATTTCGGGGGATCGTCGACGATCGATTCGTCGACGACGATCGAACGGCTATCGAGATCCGAACGCGTCGAGCAACCGCAAAAGATTAACTTGCGAAAGAATTTCGACATATTCGTATTACGTAAATAAACAATTTTTAGCGAGCATAAAAAATTGTTACTTTATGTTCAAAGCTCGAGAAATTCCTCTCACGGCTATGCTTATGTTTTCTTTTTTTTTTTTTTATCGGCATTGAGCCGCATTGATTTAAATTTATTTTTAATTATATTCTATTTATAAAAGCATCTTGTTCGATCATAAATACACACGTTCTACGAAAGGACGGAATATAAGGAAATAAAAAAGTGTTCGAAGTACTTATCTCTTTAATCTCATGTTATTTAATATTTAAAACCCGCAATTTACTCGCCACATTATGTCTATTTTCTTTATTTTTCTTATTTTAGATAGACACCAAATTCTTTTCTCGCGCCTATTTTAATTTTCGTAAAACACAATAACAGATAAATGTCATCTACTATTCACTTTCCTTTAACGCAGCGATATTTCAAAAGTCATAATTGGCAATCTGGTCAATTCATCGGTTACACTGGCCGCAATCGATTGGCTGACTTGTTAACGATATTCGGAAACTGATAGCAACACAGTTCGGGACGCCGTGAATGAAAGACTCGCTCCTCGAGAAGCTCCCCGAAAGCTTTTCTGAAAGAGGACGGTATTCGCGTGTGCACGTGTGTCACAAAACTAGAAAATAAACTCTCCGCCGCAGCCGGCGACTGAGAATGGATAGCACAGACGCATTCACGAAGGAGTTTATATTTGGAACTACACGCTGGCACAGACGATAAAAATTGACAGAGAGCGCCAGTTCAACGTACCTCAACACAGTGCGGATAAAAACGGAATATATATAAATTTTTTTGTTTTTTTTTTTTAGCGAAAATCTACGCCGTCATCGAAAAAATTCCTCAGGAATTGAAGGGAGAAACACTCGATAGCGTGCTGGGTTGTTCTTAAATTCCTAAAATACGTGTAGACCAACCTCCCATCTCGTTCTTTTCGCTATCAGCTGATGCGATCCCCGACCTGGTTTCCTCGCAATCCGCTTTGGTACGAACGGAGAAGCTGATTAAATATACGCCTAGCGGTTTTCGTTTTAAGAGATTGAAGGACATTTTTATTCTCGACTATTACGGGATTCATGGATAAAAATTCCAATTTTTATCTTTCGCGCTCGTGTCAGGATAAAATTGTTGCAAAAAAAAAAAAAAAAAACGAAAAGAGAAAACAGATAAACTGATTCCTCAAATCAGAGAGGGGGATACGAGAAGAACAATCGATATTGTTTTTTTTTTAATCGAGAGAGCCAAATCAAATTAAATTTTGCATAACATTTATTCGGCTATATAAACCGTTTATTTTTCCCAATCGCCTGCAGTGTGATAGTTATTTGTTTACACACACTGTGCATGTACATACATTACCCCGACAATGATTCGTTCCGTTCCCTTAGCGAGATGAACGTAAATGTGGGGATATTTATACTGAAAACACACGTTTACAATCACACGAAATTACAATTTACTCGGCCAAAAAATTCCATTATCTTTATACTCGCCACGATTTTGTTGTTAATATTTTATATTGTTATATATTTATAAAATGTTAATCGCAAATCGCAATAATTGCTTGGAATAATTACGTTTTTCGAAAGATAATGCGACGACATACGGAGCGACTCGTGTCGCTACTTTCTTAGTCGAGCTTCGCCGTACGAATGATAACAACATAACAGCGTATCAAAACAATAACGCGTTGTATGCCATCTCCGTCCCCTCCCACTGTCGAAATACTTTATATGTTATCAGATTGTTGTAGATGAAATGGATGTTTTCTTTTTTCTTTTGAATTTAAACTTTTATTCCGTTTGGAATACTTTCTCACTTGTGATATAAATGCTGACAAAAAAATGACGTAATCATAAAAAAAATGCGTATTGAATAGCCGGCATTACTCAATGGACGCGGTATATTATTGCTTCATGATAATTCTAGACCGCATGTTGCAAAACAAACCGTAAAAAAATTAGCAAAATTGAAATGCGAAATTCTCCCTCACCCTCCTTATTCTCCTGATCTTTCTCCGACAGAGTACCATTTTTTTTTAAGCACCTGAATAGCTTTTTAAGTGAGAAAGTATTCCAAATGGAAAGTGAGGTAAAAAGTGCGTTCAATGAATTTCTTGAATCTCGCTCTTTCGGTTTCTATATTAAAGGTATTAATGCGCTTGTATTACGTTGGGAGAAGTGTGTTGAAGTGGACGGAGACTATTTCGATTGACAAGATGTATATAAAGTGTGTCGAATAAAAGTTCAAATTCAAAATTCAAAAACGGCCATTTCATCTGCAACAACCTGATAAATACTTTATAATAGAGTAGATATTCCTATTCCTCAATTTACTAGGGAAACGGAACAAATCATTGTCGGATAGTGTATGTTCAACACGATACATATCTCGCGCACTTCGTTCATTGTCTTGTGTATACATAGAGTGCGAGCCGCAATTGCATATCACTTGAAACACCCTAGGCCAAGTAATTCTCCGTGAAGCTTTCCGTGTCACTACCTGCATACATTCATTGCTTTAAAGCCTTTTGTGCTCCGTTGAACGGAGGAGCGCGAAGAAAATTCGCAACAGTTCCAATTCCTTTTCAAAATGCTCTGGCGTATCTCCAAAACGTATTCGGATATGGCACGGTAATTCGGAGAAAGTGTGTTTTCATCTGAAAGCGCACACCTCATTCTTCTATTCCGCTTTCATTGTAAAACGCTTCTGACAGCGGCGAGCGTCGATATAAGCACGTGTGCAAGGCATTGTTCAATTTCTTTTCCGAGGAACAAACTGCTAGGAAATTTTCATGTAAATAATGGCAGCAGTTAACGGCTATTATTTGAATTATTATTATTTAAATAAGATATTATTTAATTTGGATATTGAGTCTCATTTCGATGATATCGGCTAATATTCTAGTCAATAATTTATTCATTAAAGTTTGCTTTAAACGATTCATAATCCGCTATAAAATTCAAAGCAGAAATCTTTTAGTAAAAGTATTAGCAGTAATTAACAGTTATTATTTGAATAATTAATAATAATAGATCGTCTATAAAATTATCTTTAAAGTCTTCAAAATTATATTAAATTATTCGATAAAAATCAAAACAACATACTTGAAACAGACTGCATGCAGAGATACATAGGATATAAATCACATAAAATTATCACGATAACGATATCCATAATTATTGTACAATTATAATAATAATTATGTTACTACCGATTAATAACGTACGGAATTAATGTGCAAAGTATTTTTCGCTGGCAGTAATGCTCCGTTTAGCATTGAATAGAGTTATTTCATTCACGTTCCGTGTTTACAATGAATAAGGTACTCGTATGAATACGGCAAACAGAATTTAGAACCAAATTGCATTTAGCGCTGTAAATGTAGAAGCGCGAATACGAGAGATAGAACAAAGAGAGAGAGAGAGAGAGAGATGGGAGAAGAGGCACCTATTATACGTCGCAAATTTGGCGACGTATGGTAAATTCGGGTCAAACAACGCGTTGCCGCGGTATCAACGTTATCCGGGATGGTCTCGTCAAACGTACCGGAGGAATCTACTTCGTTGGAACGGTAACTAGATGCTCGCGCGTATATATCGTATATACGTATGTATGTACACATGTATGTACATATATATATATATATACGGCACACGATGACGCCGATCAACTATGTTACGTTAAGTGGGCTTTACCTGAGCCAATCGGAGCCAAACCGCTTTCCCAAAGATGCCGCGTGTTCAATAGTCAAAAGTAGCGGTGTTAACTCAAATAATTACAGTAGCGCGTTAAAAGCAATGCTCGAAACCATAATCCGTATTTTCTATCTTTTCGACCGATTGAGAAAAAAAAACAGCACATTTCTTTCTAAGATATATACAGGGTGTCCCCAATTTAAATGTCAAAACTTTAGGAGGAGCAAAAATTCATTCTGTCTCTCTCTATTTTGCGAGTTGCAAAAAATTTCATATCTTGATATTATCAAGATAAATAGAAAAAGTAGGTAACGTACATAAACTTGGATCTGTTAAACGCGAATTTAGAATGTGCTCTTTATCTACTTTTCTATATACAATGTACAGTTTATAGATAAAGATACACAAGGAGAACCGTACCAACGCACGAGATGGTCTCAATCATATAATTTGACGCAAAAGGAGGCGAAAACCAGTTTTCTAACT